ATATATACATACATACATATATATATACACATTTATACATACATGTATGACTTACATATGAATCCTACTTTATCGGTATGTCATGGATATCACAAATATATCATGCCTGGATGCCTGGTGAAGGGAACTTTCAATGGGTCTGCCCAGGGGAGGATCGAAGCCAAGTGAATTTCTGCGGTGAGATCTATAGTATGACACTAATTGTAGAAAAGGAAACACGTGAAACCTAGATATATCGTTGATTGAAAAACCAAATATGTATGTATGTATATATATATATAAATATATATATATATACACAAAAATTAAAAACAAATAGTAAAACTGGCGGCCGCTGACGGATCGTGTGTCGGCCTAGTACTTGAAACCAAGGGAACAGATATCGGAATTTTCAACCAAAAAAAATGCCCTGCAAATTTCAGAACAAAAATCGTCAAGCCTCAAACGGTGGCCCAGAGAAAGGGGTAAACATTGAAATTAAACAGCCGAATTGTCAGTTCGCTAGGGTGATCGACCGCTGCCAATGTTTCAAGTCACTCAAAAGAGATGCTTTTGTCAAACCAGCTTATAGAAGTACACCTGCTGACAAGATTCTTGTGCTGTTGGTGAGATTTTGCGGGTTTGGGAGGCTCATGCCTCATCAACTTCATGATTTTCGTGACTTTGCGTTGATATACAGGATTGCATGTCGCATGTGGTCAAAGCTAGCCAAACCAAAATCGCGGAAGAAGATCCCACTCCAGCGTAGTCTGTCTTACCTTTTTGCCAAAGTAAAAGAATCAGAAAGGACAACAACCATCCCCATCCCAAATGCTCCATGCACAACTTATTCCGCATTCACCACCCAAAAAAGCCCGCTGCTATGTACGGTAATATACCATCCCTGGAGCATTTAAGAGACTTTGAACATCCCCCGATCTTGATACAGACCCATTTATAAATATATATATATATGTCATGTCAAATCCTTAGTTTTCACTGATAAATCTGTATACCCTCTGGGGAATCACCATAAATCATCAAACAAAATTGCCATTTTCCACAGCTATGTTGAATAACCGGAGGGTAAATCCTGTTTTCTCATCGGTCCATTGTTTCTCGTGGCAACCTCCAGCGACCCATCCTGCATCATCTCCGTTTGACCCGACAGCGTCGCGCAGGCCAGGCCGGTCATGCCCACCTGAAACTGTATCGCATCCTTAGATCCAGCCACCATGGACAGGTCGGACAGCTGGGTGGCTTACCATATCTTACCATTCTACACTTGTATAGCCGTACTTGGGATGATGTTGAAAAAAGTAATCGCCCTGATTCGAAAAAAAAGAATAGACCAAACAGGCTAATCGTTAGCTGTTCATCCAATAGATCGGCTTAGATTTGCTTGAGGTTCTAGAATGTCTTTGCAAAAGAATCAAAACTATCGATAATTCCACGATATTGCGGTACAATATACTGTTCATCCAAAGATGTTCAAACTTTTCAGTAGAATTTGCGTGAAAATGCTGGATTCACCGATTGGAAAATGCCACCCAGGCATCGTTAGGCGAGGAGAACATGTACTTTCGCCAGAACTCCTCCGAAGACCGAGACGAGATGGATCCATAGAGAAAAACGGCCGGATATGTATATATATATATATATGTCATAATGTGTGTGTGTGTTAATCAAAATGATGATGTCAATAATATGATACATTATATTTCATATGACATGGCAGATGTTGAGATGTGATCCTGACACTTAACATGGAGATATGAGAAATATGTGGTAATTCTAGGATGTGTGTGTGTGTGTGTCACGGTTTCAATTTTCTGCTGAGTTGCCCATCAAATGTGAATATAATTAGTTACATAAAAATTACAATGTCATAGGGATATCAAACCGGTAGAAACAGGACATTTAGCTGTTTGGACAACAGTCCGGAACGGGTTGGTTTTTTGTTAAATGCACAAACATGCTTGAAACGAGCCAAAGTGCAGATCGGGCAGAAATGTTTGCCCCTTTGAAAATTCAGTTGTGTACATAATATATGCAGTATATATATATATATATACATATACATACATACACATGTATATATATATATATGTACGTATGTGTACATATGTATATATATATATAAAAGGAGAGAGAAGTATATGCAGAGATCACGCAACAAGAAACTTATTACCTGCCTTTTGCCACTCAGGCGGCCCAGGCACCACAGACATGAAAGCCATGGTGCCTGGAATGGCTGATTATTTGGGTAAATTAGGTAGGAAATTAGGTAGGATTCGCCGGTGGCTGCGAACATGGCAGATTGAATAAGTCCTAGAAATGAAGTTTTTCTCTGTAAAACATGTTTTGTTGCTAATGGGACATCAACTATCAATGGTGGATTTCCAGCACGTCATGTTTGATGACACTGGAACATATTCCATTAAATATCCCATCAAGTCTCCCAATATTACTGTAGCCATTGTCAATTATTCTAACCATGCTGGATAGATACGCTACATGCCCTTGCTCCATCTTCCTACTTTTGCTGGGCCGGCTTTGTCCTCCATGGTGTCGTTGCAAATGGCTTTCCCGCAGATCTCATCGGCTCGGGCTAGAAAAAAGCGGTACAGGTTCAGGTCCTTCACACAGGCAGTGGATGTAGTGATGTAGTGATAGCCATGATTTCACCAAGACAAATAATGAATTTAATGGGATATCAAAGGGATATCATAGGGAATTTAATGGATCTATAATGAGAATATGCCCTCCGACATCAAATATGGTAGGGAAAATCTGGGAAAACCCACTCTACAGGTTTTTTAATGGTAAAGTCTAAATATCTACGCGAATAAATAGGATTTTCCATTGCCATATTTGATTACCCAAGGGTATGCATCCTCCTTTTAGAGACAGATACTTCAAACGCAAATGTAGGACATTATGCACAGGTCTGTAGATCACACAAACAATCTCGTCAAATGATGTCAAGGTCATCAACTGGATAAGATTGTTTCAATTTAATATCAATTGGCTGGTTGTAATATATATATATATGTATCCAGGGTATACATAAATAAGTATATAAATATATAAATTTAAACATAAATAAATAAATAAATAAATGAATAAATAAATAAATAAATAAATAAATAATATATATATATATAATATATATACCCGATGAAGTGTCCCCATATGTCCCCATTATATCCCATCATGTCCCATTTTACATAATTACATTCCATTTAAGCCACCATCCATATCCCACTACCATCCATATCCCACTATTTCAATGAATATATCACAATATATCAAAAACATATGATATATCCCTATGAATATCCTCACATTTCCCCATGATTATGTAAACCACCATAACCACCATCAATATAATATCAGGTCCTGTATGGTAGTGATGAACATGACTATGATAATAACCTCCATATAGGGTATAACTTCTAATAATTATGGCTATGTAAGTTATTTACACATTCATAACCACTGCTGCACCCTCCAAGAGCTCACCCAGGTCCTTTTTGCGTTTGCTTTCCCTCAAGCGTTGAAGCTTCAGGCTCAGGGCTCTTTGAATAAAGCGGCTGACCTTTCTCCGATCCTCGTGATCGACAGACGCGTCTACTGGAGAATGGAAAAATGGAAACTAGTGGGATATGAATGGGATAAATATGCATAACTGGTCAACAATTCATTCATAAATGTCTATCTCCAGCGTGTACGTGTATGTTGATTAAACACCAGTCTGTACAATACTTTGTCAGACACATGTAAAGAGCACACACGGGCACCAATGGAGATGATCCCTCAAAGTGTGGCGGACATGGCGGAGTTGGGCCTGTTTTTGTGGGGCACGTTGCACGATGAAAAACCGGTTGAAATGAGGATTAGCTTGGATTAACCAAAAGGTATTCCCGTATGGTGTGTGTATAAATATATATATATATATATATCCTAGGAATGCAATTCAGTGGTTGTGTTCCGCATCAAACGTCCTTTTTACATTTTGGGATTTTGTGGGTGTGCCAACAATGACACCACCAACCAGTTGGTGTGCTTCTTCTTCTTCTTCTTCTTATTCTTCTTGTTATTGTTGTTGTACTGGTGGTGTTGATTGTGGTGGTGTTGATCGTGGTGGTGGTCCAGGCTGTCACGTGGAGCGCCCGAAGTTGGGCCGATTGGGAACCCCATGGCTTTATGTGAAGATGCTGCAGAAAAACACATGTTGCTTGGATGATCACAATATGTACTGTATATATTTGTATATACTGTATGTATATGTATATTATAGTAATATTATATATATACATACATCTATATATACATAATAGATCTCTATATATATATATATATATTAGTTATATAATATATTAGTTATATATTAGTTATATATTAGTGATATATTATAATGTGTATGTAATTTGTGTATATATTATGTACCATCGTTGATCATCATGTTCTCTTACTTCAATAAAAAATATATTGTGATTAAACTGTCATTAAGCTGTCATTAAACTGTCTGTCTTGAGATACAAACCATTTCTGAGGGTGAAATCTCCATTTCTCGAAGTCATTCTTTGTCATTTCTCAAAATGTTCCGCAAGAAAATTGGCATGTCAAAACCCTTTAAGTTTGAGGTTTACTATGGTTCACTATGGTTTATTATGGTTCACTATGGTTTACCATGGTTTCTGAGAGTAAATCCCATGGTTTACTCCATCCAAAAAAAACGATTCACCCCGATCCAGGCACCGACTCTAGGCCGAAATCGCCCTGATGCACAGGCGAACGCATCCACATCATAGGATGGTCAAACTCTGCGCGATCGCTGGCAGTGACCACCTCAGAGGTCTAGGGAAATATAATGGTTGGTGGTAAATATAAACTGGTTGATATAATGGTTAATTTAATGGTGAATATAGTAAATATAAACTGGTTGATATAATGGTTAATTTAATGGTGAATATAGTAAATATAAACTGGTTGATATAATGGTTAATTTAATGGTGAATATAGTAAATATAAACTGGTTGATACAATGGTTAATTTAATGGTGAATATAGTAAATATAAACTGGTTGATATAATGGTTAATTTAATGGTGAATATAGTAAATATAAACTGGTTGCTATAATGGTTAATTTAATGGTGAATATAGTAATTATAAACTGGTTGATATAATGGTTAATTTAATGGTGAATATAGTAAATATAAACTGGTTTATATAATGGTTAATTTAATGGTGAATATAATTAAATTATAGTGATGAATATCATGGGTAAATATAAACTGGTTGGTGGTGCAATGTGCCCATCTTGAAAAATGATGGAGTTCGTCAATGGGAAGGATGACATCCCATATATGAAATGGAAAATAAAATTCATGTTCCAAACCACCAACCAGCCAGCAATTCTTTGATGGCAGATGGTAGCGGAGCAGATGAGGAACGATTTTGGGGCAACACTCTATATTGTAGGGAAAAGAAACCATCGTTTTTTGGATATTTGATGGGATGTGGCACTGCCCAACTTGCTATGATATTTAGGTTTGTCTGAGAAAGGGTAGTAATACCACCCCGAAGCGGGAATTTCAATAGGAACATGATGATTGACCATGGAATTTTGGGGGTATACGTTCAGATAAACCTCAAATAGATAGGAGGTTAACATAGGTTAACCATGAAAACTAGAGGTGCCGTCATAGTTCAACCATCAAAACCCACGGCTTTTCGATCATCAAACCACAGCGGATTAAACTCACCACGGCTTCGCAGCTAAATTCTGGCACCTCCAACTTAGCTTGGTTTATGTTTCTGGGTTAAGAACTGAATTTATGGTGGATAAATGGAACTAGTCAATATGGATGGATTCAAAACCAAAGAAATGGAGGAACCAACTTGTATGGTATCTACCATGAAAGTAGATTGTGAAGAAATCACGTTTAAAGTTTATGTTTGTGTGTATGTGCTCGTGAAATTCCCGCGACGTGTTGTGCAAGTACATTCTTATTGATCTTACTATTAGCAGGGACATCATCGTGTGCAATGTATGTTTGTCACTGCGCTGAGTAGGCGGGAACCCCAAAAATTGTGGGTTTCTGAGATACTAACCAACAAACATGTCACTCTTAGCGGACATTTAAGTGGGGCGGCTATACAAAATGGAAAAAAAACATGGATATATCTATGACATCTATATAGTGTATCCATCAATCCTATATATATATACGGAATGGCGATACAATAGAAATCGCAATGTTCAACCGACAAACAGCTAGCATGGCCTGACCATATGCGACCTGGCCTTGGGATGCCGAAATGTGGGGCTTTCCCCGGCTGGAGGGTTAATTTCATGGAAAATCCTAAATCTAAAATGGATGATCTGAGGGTACCCGGTATTTCTGGGATTCTCCCATTGCATCAGTCGTCGAGTTGCCACAATGGGCACCTTGCTTCGCTCCGACAACAGCTTGCACCACATCTCCGCACGACACCAACCCCTGCGACGTGTCCCCCAGTCGGACCGCCAAACAGCGAAAGAGAAAATACCAACGGAGATCTTGCAGGGTTCATCCCACTTAGCAGGCTTCATCCCACTTAGCAGGCTTCATAAAGCAAGTAACCAACTACTATATATGAAATGATCCTGGATGTGCCTGATATTGGGCACACGTTGGATCCGTTGGTTGATCATCATTTTCCACATGACATAAATCATGAAAAACTGGTATTTTAAGGGGTATACCCATTATACCCTATGTTCAGACACATCCAAACACCATATCAAGTTGGTTGGTCATATCCCATCAAATATTCCCATTATATCTCCATCTTGTCATTGTTTGATACCTTAGGTATCCTTAGGTTCACCCATCTTCATGGGTACGCCAGCATTTTCAGACACCCCAAAAATATGACGGGGATTCCATCCACAACGCCCAAAGATGACCAGTGCTTCTTAAGGGCTTCGTCACCACCAACCACAAGTATAAGCTTGAATCCCATAAAAAGACTCCCATGACACCCATGGTAAAACCATCATTTCAGCTGGTGACTTTAACATGTTTGATGATTAAACCACCATTTTTGATGGTTAAACCACCATTTCTGATGGTTAAACCACCATGTTTGATGGTTAAACCACCATTTTTGATGGTTAAACCATTAGTTCACCATGGTATTCTACCCATCATCGTCAGAACGCCCTTACCGCCAACTGAAGCCTTTGGAGCCAGCTGCTGTAGTTCACCTGGCTGCCACCTGGCAACTAAAAAGTGACTTCTGTAGTCTGAATCACGATTACATAACTATGGAAAATCACCATTTTCATTGGGTAAATCCACTATAAATGGTGATTTTCCATAGTTATGTTAGTTTACCAGAGGGTATCTCAAACACAATGCTTGTAACATCATTGTACGTGCTTTTGCTAAAACAATCTACCAGGAACCCAAGGTTTAGCTCGTTGGCACGGTAATCGTTCATCAGCCATTTTTGTCGAACAATTCAGGAGATACAGGTATGAACAATCCATGGAAATCCACGGCTTTCAAAGGTCCTTTCCTGGGAAAACCATGGCTTTTCCGTATCTGAGTGTTAGCTTTTCTAAAAATAGTGGCTTTACTGCATTGTTCGTTATAGATAGTTCCTTGATACTGATTTATTACATGAGCAGTGTGAGACAAATCCCTCTGGTTGGTTCAGAACGGGATTTCCCGTTCGATTATGAAATCATCTCCAATTTTCCAATACATTGGCAAACGTATCATCCCCTATATATTCTGGTTGGTGGTTTCAACCTACCCCTCTGCAAAATGATGGAGTTCGTCAGTTGGGATGATGATTATTCCCAACTGAATGGAAAGTCATAAAATTCCATGCCATGGTTCCGAACCACCAACCAATCATAAAATTCCAGTTTGATAGTTTATAGACCCATCATATCCCAGTTTTGCGTGATTCAATTATGATCTTCCCCATTTTTAGTGATATTCCCCAAGTTATCCTACGGTTTTCCCCATTAAACACCTCCATTTCTAGAAGATTTCCCATGATTTTCCCATGATTTCAACAAGCCTCGGATCCAAGGGGCTGGAATGCGTGAGGTTCGGAACCAGGGCCACAAAGATCTGACAGGCCTCCGAGGAAAGCCCCCCGCCGTTGAAAAAGGGGGTTGATGCAACAGCAAATAGGGGTTTGAGAATGAGAATTGATGGGATTTTACCATAGAATGTAGGGATTTAACGACTGAACAATGGATTTGGATGCCTGAAAAAGCGCTCGCTAAGCAACAAACATAGGGTTTTATACTGGAAATTCAAGGGATATCTTATTGTGGGATATCACTATCCAATTTGTTATATCTGAGTGTGGACCTGAAACCCGTGGGTGAACCCTAGAGAAAATGACACAATTGGTCCTGTAGTTGTTGCCCTAAATTCCCCTGCACCAATGCAGATATGAATACTTGCCGGTGCTTAGTAGGGAATGGATGGGAATGGGGGAATGGGATTATTATTGCTAGTGATTATGGATCATTTCCTCATTCCCTACTAAGCACCAGTAAGAATATGAACAATCAACAATGTCCACAATGGGTTTTCCACCTGCCAAATGATCCAAATGTATCCAAATCAACTAACCACAATGTACAGAATCATGGCTATCAAGTGGTCATGGTCACGGTGAGATTTCCCAGGTTTACTGGTTTAAAGCCTTGAAACAACTGGAATGTTGACTTTTGATGACCAAACTTCTCAACAAACTCCCTAGACCTGTGAACAATGACGACCCTTGGTGATTGGTGATGTGTTAAAAGGAAAGCAAAATAAAACTAATTTTGGAGGGTTTATACAATTGAGGTTGTTTATCCTTGGGTTTACAACATTAGTCTCAAACCTTCTCGATGACGATAATGGTTCCAGTAACAAGACCGGTCAAACAATGGCTTTGGAGGCCAAGAGTTCTCCATTCAGATTCTTCTTCCAGAGCTCTTTTTCAGAAACAAACAGAGCAAATCATGATCTTTACTCCGCGTGGATTTAAAAAAAAAAACACTTGACTTGAATGTGACAACCAGAGTATCAACGATTTGTCTGTATATTATTGCTATTTCCCAGTGTACATAGATGGTTCAACCCAACCCGCATGGGACGGGGGACCCTGAGTCCAGCTCATCCCATCTGAGCGATTTTTAGAAGGGCCCCTGGGGCTATTGGGGATTATCAGCTAACCCATAGTAGGGAAACCTTCAACCAACTAGCATGTCATGAGATGGGATAGGCTAAGGGCTATTTTTTGAATGATGTGATGAACTTAAAAACCCACAGGGAGATACGGTCACGTGAGATCAGTTTGGCTGAGATTTCAGCATCTACACATGGTTCATCTAAGCTCAACTTATGATCCGAATATTTATATATATATATATATTATATGCACAGAGTTGCAAACACATAAACAAATACAATATCGATCAAACAGATTCAGCAGTTCATTTTATAGCATATAATATGCTATCATGTGCCATGTTTATCCTCCAGGGATCTCCATCAAGCTCGAGAAATATGGCAAAACATAATCCATCAACGAGTTTCTGGCCTCCACATATGCCGGGATGCTCTGTATGCCTCGCTGGGGCACGGCTGTTTTTGTGCAACCCTGGGGTGAGCCCGAAAAACACGCACATTATTTTTGTGTAGACAGAGTCTGTTCAACCAAAAGTAGGAACCATAAACCTGTGCTTTTTTAAATGTATATTATATGTATATCAATATGTACATATATGCACGTTTTTGTTCTCTTTAAAAGTATGTCTGCATGTGTCGTATACGTAGATCTTGAATATGTTAATAATACAATGAACAGAAACACAAAAGTACCCTTTTTGAGGCAATTTGAGCGGGTTTGGGGTGTTTCCCCAAAATTAATCTACCAGGGTTTGCTAATCAGGGGTTGACACTAAAGTTCAGGAAAGGAAGAACAACGGAACAAATAGTCTCCTTCAAAGACATATACGCGAGTCTAACTTAATTCAGATATTGTTCTGTCATTCCAAGAGTGGCAACACTTCCTCGGAGTCGGAATCCAGCTGAAATTTGCAGCTGAAATGTCTGATCAGCACAGATGGGCAACTACGACACGACACACGTCACGAATATTTCTCATCCGAATCACGTCATCAACGTCTCTGGTGTGTGCTGGGCGACATTGTGCGGCAAGACTTCAGAATTGCAACAACAAAACGTATGCCATTTGTCGATTCTCCATCAATTCGTGGATTTCCCATTGGGAAACTCAGCCGAAATAGTCGACGCAGCAAAAATTCAGGAAGAGTATCTACCCTTTTGGCTATTTGTTGCATTGCTCCGGAAGCCATAGCCCTAATTCGATGATAAACATGATACTCTACTTCGTAAAAAATGAAATTTCCCTATAGCAAAGAGTTAAGTTGCCAAAGGTTATAACCACTTACTTATATGTATGTATATAATTTATATACTGTATGAAGCTGTTCTCGTTGGTCATATCCCTTTGGATATAAACCAAAACAATACGCCATCGTTCTCAGGATATTGTATATATATATATATATTTGTCCAGTGTTCCCCACTGTTCCTTTCATGTATGCAATATGATGTTCAAATATTTACATTTCCAAAATGACCCAAATGTGGGTGTGTGTATATATATATATATACATATATATAACATGTATATATATATATAATATATATATATAAGATTCCATACGTGGAGCATATGGGTTATGTATATCATATATATGGACTATAGTACCTAATCATACTGACAGCATCACTCCGCTTACATCTAACATATGGTTCCACGTTGTGGATGCCATCCATTGGCATTGCCAGCACTCATCCAGTACCTGGTACAGTAATCAAACATGACAACGGAGAAACCAACCATTCGTATCATATCCCTATCTGGTTGGTTTTACAGTAACAATCTTGAAAAATATTAGTAAGTTGGGATTATTATTCCCAATATATGGAAAAATAAAAAATCTTCCAAACCACCAACCAGATATGGTTCAATGATGTTCCCATTCAAATGCCCCTTTGCTTCGGGAATTGTTGGATTACCCAATGGTAATCCCAGTAAATTGAATTATAATCATATGTCCGCCATGTTTGTTGGTTGTATATCCCACTATATCCCAAGATATTCCATAAATTCTCGTGCTTTCCCCAGTTTAGCTGCTTAAAGGCACCATTGTTCCCAAATTCTATTGTCCCAATTAACATGTTCCCATTAAACATTGATAGTTAGTTGCATTGTTGATCATTTATAGTGTATATACATGTATCTGTATATATATATGTATATATATATATAGTCGTCCTATTACCCCATTCTCATCCCCATATAGTTGCAATGATGCTTAGGTACATTGTGAGGTTACTTCCATAAACATGCATAAACCAATTAATTAATAATTCATGATTTAAACTAATTCAAAACATCCATACACATGCATAAACTCCAAAAACATCCATAAACATCACGTGGTTGGTGGCTTCAACCCCTCTGAAGAAGTCAGTTGGGATTATGATTCCCAATATATGGAAAAATCAAATTCATGTTCCAAACCACCAACCAGTTGTTTTTCCAGTTTTAAAGTATTTTATTTATAGTGTATAAACCCATCATATCCCAATTTTGCATGATTCAATCATGATCTTCCCCATTTTTAGTGATATTCCCCAAGTTATCCTACGGTTTTCCCCATTAAACACCTCCATTTCTAGGGGGATTTCCCATGATATTCCCCATGTCTCCCGGTCGGGTCATTTGTTGGCCAGGTGCATTTGTTGGCCTCGTCCAAGGAGGTCCAGGATTCTGTGCCTGATCGTTCCTGAGATTCGACATGGGATCAAAATATGATGAATATTTCAGGATATTCTATGATTAGTATATGATTCAGGATTATATGAAATAGACATTAGTATATATATATATATTCATTAGTTGTGAGATGTAAAGCATAGATACTCAAAAAGGTTAACACTGTCCAGGCTCACGTCCGCATGGCTTTTTCTTCCCAAACTCTTCGTGCGGTCTCAACCTGCTCCTCGCAGGATAGTGCTTTGGAACGCTGTGCAGGTAGTCTCCTGCACAGCAGCACTGGTTGGATCCGTACACCCTGTTCCGCACTCCTGTAAACTCAGGAGGCTACACAGGTTGAATCTCTCCCGCCCAGTGCTACAGTCGTGGGACTCCACGTAGAGATCAGCATCCTCAATGATGTGATCCCCTACAAGGGAGGATACTCCACCGGAGTCCTACCTCATAGGGAGGGAAGGGAGGGAAAAGAAAGAACGATGAAGCCAGTTTGGCTCAGACTTGAGCCAAAATGGATTCATCAGCTTACATACTCACCCTAATGATAATGCACACCCAGTGCCTGCCAAACACGATGCATACATACATTAGTTGTGAGATGTAAAGCATAGATACTCAAAATGGTTCACACTGTCCAGGCTCACATCCGCATGGCTTTTTCTTCCCAAACTCTTCGTGCGGTCTCAACCTGCTCCTCGCAGGATAGTGCTTTGGAACGCTGTGCAGGTAGTCTCCTGCACAGCAGCACTGGTTGGATCCGTACACCCTGTTCCGCACTCCTGTAAACTCAGGAGGCTACACAGGTTGAATCTCTCCCAATGCACTTCATCCCAAAGCACTCAGAGAAACTCCACAACCCGGAGAAACGCGGGAAGTGGTAGAGACCAAATCTCGAAGGGGAAAAATGCAAAATGCGTGGTGAACCCATGGCGTTTGTGCCATGTCGCCTGGAGGCCTTCACGGCTGATCTCATCAGACCAGTTGGCCTTGCTAGGGATCCACTCCCAGAAAAACCAAGCCTTAAGACCAAAAAGAGTGATATGAATCAATCGTGACATATGCTCTAAATCTGCATTGTCAGAACGACCTCGGATCAATGCCATCAACGCTGCTGTGTTGTCGATGAACCAAAGCCCTCGTCTACCTCGAAATCTGGACGGCCTAGAAAACAAAGCGTAGAGCACTTGCAGCAACTCTAACTGGGCAATCTTCTTGTCACCAGGCTCCCAGAGGTTGTACACCAATTGGGGGATGAGAGAAACAAAAGCTTCCCGATGTTGCCTGTGACTGTCATGCCACACCACCAAAAAGCCTCCTGTCCCCTGACCTGGGCTCTCCAACGCAGCATCCGAAGCCGCAAGGAAGCGGAGCCCCGCATGTGGCCAGATCTCGATGTGGCGAGAGGGCCGGGTGGTGATGACAGTGCGAAGCAGGTCAAAACTCTGGCGCAACTCTTCAGTTAACTCTGAAGAGCGCTCCTGCTGTCTGTGCTTGATGGGAGCCAAGCCACCGCAGCCAATACGCCCCCACACACCAAGCTCAAAGAAGTTGGCGATACCATAGAGCTTGGCTGCTACCCCTGGTTGCAGCCTGCCGGATTCCTCGGCAGTCTGCATGAGATGAAGCAGCTTGGTCTCGATGCGGTCACGGGCCCAAAATTGAACCATACCTTTCAAATGGACTTGACTGAAATCGTGATCCAGGCCTAAAAAGGTGCCGGTACTCTGCATCTTTTGACATTTCTCCTCTGAAAACGGTGTGCCCAAAAGGGTGTTGAGAGTCTGCAAAGCTCTCTGACCTGATCCCCGGCACGATTTGCGGTCTGTCAGGTGAGCATCATCGAAATACAAGCTGGTCAAACAAAAGGCAAATCGACGTGATAGTGCTTCCACAAAGCGACTGTATCGATTGAACGATGTGACTGCGAGAGGAAGACCAAAGAGCAGCCCGGTATAAATCATGAACGCCGGTTGTTGCCATTCATGATGGAAGAAAGCCACAATGCAGCATAAGGCCTCATCCCAACTCATAGGGCAAAACCGATAAGCGTCTGGCCAATCCTCACCGCCAGACTCCCATTCTTCAGCCTCCCAGTGGGATGACCTCCCAAAGGCGTAGGCATACTGCAGGTGTTGGGCTGGCCGCAACGCTGAGCAAAGGGTGAGCTTGTTTGCATCACTGGAACGCTCAGACTGCAAACCAACGTAAGCGTCATCAATCACTCGTTGCTTCCCCGAGGACTGTGTGATGACACATCGCGGGATCAATCGGTAGGGTTCCGCACCCAGACAACGCTGCAGTTCCTCTGCAGTCATGGGCAACCCACAAAACCCTTTCTCAGCGTCTTTCAGGCTTTGTTGCAACAAAAATTCATCGTCGGCACCTGGCTTGAGCCGAGCCAAAATGGTGTTGTTGTGGCTCTGCCAGTCATGGAGTACCTCTTCTCTCGTCAAACGTGTGGCAACTTGTTCCGGAAAAATGCCATATGGAGGCGCGTAACCCACTGCAGGAAGCCCCATACACAGGCCTGCTGGCAGTGTCACGTCCCCCCAATTGGCTACCAGAAGAAGGATTGCAGTGAAGCCGATGTCACGTTGCATTGTTGCCGTTCTGATGGCCTCAGTCTGTTTGCGGCGCAAGTGGGCTGTAATCGAGCTCCACCGTCGCTTCATCTCAGACAGGATGCCCATGGCGCACTCTCGCAACCTGCGCAGGTCAACTCCTGGCAGACTGGAGAAAGATGCAGCAAACCTCAGATCCTCATCCAAAATAGGCAGCCCTTCAGTAGGCAACTGTTGCAGGCTGAGCTGAAGGGCTTGCTCGAAATGCTGATCGGGCTGAAGGTGAAAAGGCAGCAGGGGGGCCAACGCCGCCCTGTGGTTGATCGCTCCCACCTGTTGCCCTTCTGCAGTCCTCATCTTCTGCCGCACTGAGGGGGCTGCCAACACTGGGTTACAGCTGCCCTCCATATCCAGACCTTGTTGGTGGCGCCATCGCACAAATAGGTCAAGTGGGTACTGATTTACTAAGTCCTCCACAAAGGGGATGGCGACTCCCTCGAACCACTCGCCTGGGTATAACCTCTTGAACGCTAACGCCAAGGACTCCTGCAGAATATAAAATGGCCCAAATGGGATACCTGTAGCCCGCGCTACACTGGACAAGAGGACACACCGGGTAACTCCCTGTGGACTCCTGCCAGAAAGCCCTTGGACCACCTGGGGGGCACTCCGCTGGCCCTGCTCGCTCAATCTATCAAAAATCAACCCAGCAAGGAGGTCGGCCTCACAAGTTTGGGCTGCAGGGCAATCACAGACGAGCACTGCCCCCTCGAGCTCGTCCAGCTCGCACCAGAGTGTCTCCCTGATGTACTGGACGTAGTAAGGAACCCAGTCTTGGGGGGTGCAATTCACTCCCACCTGCCATGGAGACTTCCACTTGGTGGTAGGTAGGCGGTGGTTATGATTTCCGAGCCCCACATACACATGACCGGGAGGCAAGGCGCCCTGTTGCAAGACATCGTCAACACATGCTCTCGTGGGCACCCTAGCCGCTTCAGCTGCGTCCAAAGGCCGCAGGCCCAGGCTGATGGCCAGTGGGGTCATAGCCCACTCACGCAGTGCTCTAGGATCGAGGTCAAGCCAATGGTCTCGATGCCCAGTTCAACTCGGCGATGGGGACCTCGGCACATAGAGCTTGGCGTGTCCAACACGCACTGCCCACCACGAAGCTGCCGTGGCAATCGCAAAGCAGAGCTCTGCTGTATACTCGGACTCCTCAGCTGAAGGAAAATGGCGCTTGCCATTCTGGACCCAAGGTTCCCATTCCTGGGGGTCATGGAAATGGTTGCAGTCAGCTCGTGGCCATTGCGCGATCTCTGCAATGTTGTGGCGCAAACGCTGCAGCTTTGATCTTGCGCCCCCAAAACAGCAGGCTGAATACCGCTGGTCTGACCAGCGACCACTCTCCCACATTGCCACCTCATCCGGTGTCCACCAATGGAGGCTGTTGTATGGGTTCTCGCGGACTGATCCACCACCCCTGTCCACCAACTGGTCGATCTCAGACAGTACAAAACTGGCAGCTGCGTTATCCTGCTCCACCCGTTGCTGCTGAGAACCTGTCAACTCAGGTAGCCCCAGCGGGTGCTGTTCAGATCGCAATGGCCGGGGTGGTGGGCGCCCATCACCAAAGTCCCGCGGAATTTCCCTCGCGCGGCTAGAGCAATCCAAAGCAGCTGCTATGAAGCACACAGACTGCAACTGCTCATGCAACGATTGCTGCCGGAGGCTATTGGATAGGTCGTGACTCCTATCCAACATCCAATCCACTGAAATGGTCTCCCAACCACAAAAGATAAAGGCTTTGGACAAAGGTGTATTAGGCCCCGCATGAAGGTCCGCCATCCGCGGCAGCTGACAGTCAACACTGTCTACGGGTCTAGCCTCATCCTGCCCAGCAGAAGTGCCCGCCTCTCCCACTGGGCCCCGTCAAGGCGAAATCTTCGCCCGACATTGAATAGCTCCATGCCCCGGCATACCACAAATGCGCTCACCGCGCACCACGATGCCACACTTGTGCTGGCCTTGGGGGCAAGAGCTCTTGGGGTTCTTGCACTGTCCATGTTGGAAAGCCTGGCAAATCTTGGAGCCATCGCGCATCACCTTGGCCACCTTCTTGCCACTGACTGACTTGCCCAACGCAAACTGGGATGGTTGCTGGGCTGCTGTCGCAGCGACCGTAGTAGGCTTGCTCGCCTCGGCCTTAGGAGCTCCGGGCACCGCATGTGGCACCCAATGGGCATCACGTGCCACACTGGTCTCCTTGATGACCTCCCCCAAGGACTTGGATGATTCCCGAAACTTGGCAACCCAATCGGAACGATCCTCAAGGTCACGGGCCTCGAGCCAAGCCAACCTCTGTGACAACGGCAGTGCGCTGGACTGACGCTTCGCTCTGTAGAAGTATTGCATGACCACATCCAGAGGCACCTCCACAAAGGCTGTCGAGTCA